CTGTGAGTAACTTCTGTTACATATATTGCTGTCATGGTAAGCTGGAAAGAGATGCTCTGGTTGGCTTTGAAGGAGCAGGCTGCCATGTTGTGAGAGGATCAGATGGCTATAACCTCAGGGCACCTCTAGGAGCTAAGACTGAGCCCTGGCCAACAGCCAGCAAGAAAATGGGGACCTCTGAGTCCTATACCCACAAGGAACTGCTTTCTGCCTACAACTTGAATGAGTTCAGAAGACTCTAAAATCCACCTGAGAACACAATCCTGTGTGATATGTTGATTTCAGCCTTGTGAGACACTAAGCAAGAAACCCAGCTGTTCCATGCCAACTTTGGGCCTATAGAGCTGTGAGGTAACAAATGGGTATTGTTTTATCTTTGTGGTATTTGTTACACAGCAGTATAAACTAACAAGACTGGTATCCTCCTAGAAAGAGGGAGTGGTGTGAGTGGTGGAACATTACAGAACATGGGAAGATGGTGTGGTTGATGGATTAAATGAGGGAATGAGAAGAAAAAAAAAGGAGGGTCTTAGGACCAATTCCCAGATGTTCCCCTGGCAGGAATCCAACTACCTGCCTTCTCTCATACCTATATTTCTTCTCTCTGCTTTATTTTTCTGGCTTTCCTTCAAAAAAGATCCCTCTGAGAATGAGTATTTCTTGCTTCATATAATTTAACCAGGTCATTTGAGTCCAATTATTCTCTCTGTGGTATTGGACCCTGGTTCTCACACAGGTAGGAATGGTATTTGAAGAGTTTGCTCTTAAATAAAATATGGCACGATTGTGTGATTTTTGTTTACCTGCTTGGTTCTGTTGAACATTTTGTGTGCATCTCTCATTTTCTGCATGGACACAAATATGGTTTGAATCATAGTACAGTAAATAAAAGTACATAGTACAGTAAATAAAAACCTAGTATTATCTTTCTGGTTTCCATATTGTAATCACTAGAGATATCTACTAATACATATCTTATCACTAGAGAATAGAAGAGTTTATTTTCTTTCAATTCATTTATTTAATAAATAATTATTTAGTACTTACTACATTATGCTAGACAAAGTGACATAAACAATGAGTATAAGCATAGTATCTTTTGAGGACAGTAAATTATAATTAGTAAGAGGACAACTACACTAATCCTCCCCTTAATTTCATTAAGTGTCAACTTGAGTGCATCACTTGACTTCTCTGGGCTTTAGTTTTTTTCTCTACAAAGCTGGGATGGTAGTGTCTCAAAGTGTCTGTCTTTAGTGTGATGGGGATAGACCAAGTTGACAAGAAACATCAGCAGGAAACTAGAATTAAGATGCAACACTAATAGAGCTTTATGGAGAGGTAGAATCAAAACTATAATAGTGAGTTTAATTAATATTTGATGAAATATAAATTAAAAATAAGTAGTTTTATGCCTATTAGATTGTCAAAAAAGAAAAAGTTGATAATGTTGGAGAACATGTTGGGAAAAAAATCTCTTAAACACAATGGGTAAGAGAACAATTTGGTAATGGTAATGTCTATGAAAATTTAAACTGCATAAATGCTTTGACTCAGCCATTTCACCTCTAGAAATTCGTCCTATAAAAAGTAGGCAAATACTTATTTACAAGGATACATATTGCATTATTGTTTATATAATAACTCCAAAACTGGAAACAACCTGAATGTTCATACTTAGAAAATTAGTTTCATTTAATACACTGATATAGCAGAATATCATATAGCTATTAAAAAGAATCAGGTGACATTCTATATATATTAACATAGAAAGGTGTCTATGATATACTTAAAAAAGCAAGGTATAGAATATATGATTCTATTTCTCTAAGTTGTTACACATGTGCATATTATATATTATTAGATATATACTATATATGTATACACACATTTATATACAACTGGGTAGGTGTTTACTTATAGAAGAGTCTAGAAGGATATGCAGTAAGTTAACAGTATTCACCTTCAAGGAATAGAAACAGGGCAAGAAGGCAGATTTTCATTTTTGTATCTGTACTGTTTGAAAAATTTCTAAGATTGGTCAAAAAGTGACTGCTGTTAAATAATTTTTTTTTAATTTTAAGAAACATATACTATTTTTACTACAAAATCCTTTAAAAAATTTTTTAATATACCCCCAAAATATGAAGAGGAAGCTATTCATTTGGCCAAAGGGGAAATGGAGACCAGGCTAGAATTTAGACTATTGATACAATCAATAAAAATGTAGATATCAGTTAAAAATAACAATAATAATAATAAAAACATTACACTGAAAAAAAATTTAAAAATATAGGTGACTTTAGAGCCTAGAGTAAGGGATAAGTGTACTAGGGCAGCATCTGCATCATTTGTAAGATTGCTGCGAGGAGGACCACTTATATCTAAGAAGCAGGAATGTGACCGCATAGGAAAAGGACTCAACGTAAAGATATTGGGAATGGGAGAAGTAGGTCCACATTATCCCTAAGGCTCAGGGGCAGATAGCTGAGGATAAGGAGTTTCCTTGGGGATTTTGATACTTTATTGAACTCAGATATAAAGATATTTATTACCACCTATTATTAAAGATGTCGTTGATCTCAACTTTTGCCACAGGAAGCAAACGTGGCTGCACAGACCAGTAAGTCCCAGCCTCAGAATCAGAAATTATCCCAAATCAAATGTATAGAGATGTGACATTGGGGTGTGTTTGTGGGAAAACAAGTGGCGGTTTGTGTGTGGCTAGACTGTGGGGTGAAATATCTGGAACCAGTCTATAGCTATTCCCAGTTGTTTATATTTACTGGAAAGAGTACTGGACCCAGAGTCAGAAAACCTTGCTGGACTTTTACCTTTATGCTGATAGTTATTAGTTCTGTGTCCTCAAATAAATTATATAATTTGACCCGTACTCTCATCATTATTTAAATAGGACTTTTAATAATACCTATTTCAGAAGATTGCTGTGAGAATTAAATTGTGCCTGGCATGTAGTGAGTGTTCACAAAATGGTAACTAGTATTAATCACTGAACACTTACCATGGAACAGGTACTATAGTAACACTTTAATATTATTTTATTTAACAGCTACAAAACCTTTGAAGTTGACATTATGTTTGACATTTTACAGAGAGAGAACTAAGGCTTATTCAACTTAAACTTGACCCAAAGTAGTAAGTGACCAAGTTGAGAGTCAAGCCCTGGCTCTTAAATTGTTATGCTACACCGTTTGTTTGTTTGTCCCTTCCTTAATTTTTTTTTTCATATTAGAAAGCATCAGTGTCCCAAATTATTTTAACCAGAGTGTTAGCAGTCAGATGTAAGGAACAGAAGCAAGAAAAGTAAATTATTCATTCTCAAAAGATAGTAATCTGGGTGGAGCTGTTTAATTAAAATATAATCAATATAATCTCTGTTCAAAGGTGGAAATAATGATACTTTCTTTATTCAGTACTTATCAATATCTTTTACCAAATACAGGGAGTCTTCGATTCCATTTTAATAAAATTTGTTTATACACCTCTAAAAACCTGTCTTACATGTCTCTGGTTTCTTTTAAGTAAAGGACACTGTAGAATCTGCAAATTTTGTACCCTTCGCTTTTTCTTGATAGTGAAAGGAAGAGGACTGGGGAATCTGTTTCAAATACATGTCTTCACTTTCGTGGAAAACGAGTTTTCAAAGTGTGCCAAATATAATAGTTATGACCCAACTATGCTTGCATGGAGGGAATTTTTATTTCTTTAAAAAATAATCTTGAGAAAGGAAAAGGTTTCTATTTCACTCTAACTATAAATCTCTTCCCACAGAGATTTGTTCTCACTTAATGCTCCTTTTTAGAAAATGACACTATGTTTTATTGGTGGGAACAGTGGGGACCACTATTACCTCCTTGAGAATCTGTCCTTCAAATCTACCCATTAACGGGGGAAAAGGGAGGGTGCAGAAGAGAATCAAGAACTCTGGGAAGATAAAGAGATGAGATTGTCCTTCTTGGAAAGTTGCAGAGAATTATAATTGGTCTTGGAGACATGGTACTGTTAATCTTCTCTATGATAGGGACATTTGGGTCTTGGAAGAAATGCCAGATTCCTGGTAAGAACAGTTTATTCCAATACTGTGTTTTCCCTAGAATATAGGCAAAGACATTTGGAGAAATACCTAACATTTTGCGGAGGGTTTCTAACAATCAGGACCACTGCAACAGCCTCTTTCTGCCTCCCTGCTGTAGGTCATCTTTGTGATCCTGCAGCTACCAGACGAAACCGTGGGTAGTTGAGTAGTTGCACTAAAGGCTGTCATCATAGACGAATCTATAATTGGACAAAAATATCTACAAGTTCATTCATAAACAAGACTTTTACCATGATGAAGACTTTACCATGCCAAAAAGACACAACTGATATTTGAAGGACTCAACTTGGCTGTTTCAAATACTTTAAGTTGATTCATTTATTAAGCTTTTAATCTATACTACTAGTTTGGGGCTTCAAAAATAAATAAGGCATGTACCTTTGCCTCAGGAGCACAAAGCCAAGTGAGAGAAAGACATTTACTTGAATAACAATTTTTAATAAGTATACTAAAATTTGTACATGCATCAGAGGTACATAGATGAGAGAAAAATAAAATGTTCTTGTGGTGGAGTTGGGTTTAAAGTAGTAGGAAAAACTACAGAGGGGTAGTTGTCAAATGCTTCAGATGCTTCAGTTGTGAGGCATCTGAAATTTTATCTTACTGGCAACCTGTCAAGTTAGCTTCCTACAGTTTCATGGATGCAAGTGAAAAACACAAGACTCCTGGGTCAGAGACAAAGAGCTTTATTACTTGTGGTGTTGCAAGCAACATGAGACTCATGTTATCATTGGTCCCTCTTTTTGCCCAAGTCTCACAGGGGTGACACAGAAGGGCCAAGGGAATACTGCATGTAGTGGATTTGTGTCACAGCTGCAGAACCCCAAACTTAGGAAATCCACATTTTTCATAATGAGCTATAAATGGACCTGCCGTGCCTCTGCCCTAGGGAGACATTATCTGTATTACACCAGACAGTAAACAACTCTGCCCTCTGCTCCAGAAGGAGACATCATCTCTGTCTTGCAAGGCTCTTTGCTATACAGATATTTTTGAAAAGATAGTCTGGAATGAGATCTTCCGGTGCTTCTGCTGGCTAGATGTGCAGAAATGTGGGAGAATCATGGAGAATTGTTTTCTAACAATATCCACTCCTTGTTTTCACGCCATCTTGGTTTTTTGTGTATTTTCCAATATGTACAGCCACTCTGATTAATCTGACCTATAAAGGATGAGATAAAATGTCTTTAATTTGTCTCATACAACACTTAACTAAAACTGTTAGATTCCAAGTAATTAAGTGAGGATTGCCTTCGATGTTGCCTTTGACCTGGCCTTAGAGTGCCCCAGAACCAGTCAAACAAAGCCCGTAAACCATCAGCATCTACCTTAGAAATTCAAGTAGTTTTCTCCACAAACATTGGTATTGACCTTTTCTCTTGGCCCAAGGCATTATGGCAGGATGTATTACTGATTGCACAGGCTCTGTCTTGTCCTGAAAAAAAAGAAGTTGAGGACAATTCTATCATCCGTAATAGTCTTCCTATTAAGGTGAGGCAGGGCTGAATGCTTTCCAGGGATGAAGTAGTGCTACCTCAAACGTGCGAAAGTCAAGTGACAGTGCCCAAAGTGCAAGTCACTATATTTTCGGGAGAGAGGCAAGTTAATCCCTTACTTCCACGTAAGAAGTACAATCCCAAGGGCACACATGCTGCCTGTGGAAAGAAGTGTCTATAATTGTCGTCTCCCCTGCAAGAAGTTCAGAAAGGAATACACATCGACATTGCCTCCAGTATGGTTTCCTAGATGGCTGGTGGGCCTTAAGCATCTCACTTCTGCTTTATTAATTGCATCTAGTCCCTGTTTAGGAGGGCATCTATGAAGTCCAGCTATATAGTCACCGAAGATGACAGTCATTACCCCAAGGAATGACTGAGCAGCAGCTGTGGGAATAGGAGCGGGGTAGACATCTGGAGGTGATGTCAGGCATTTTGCATGGCAGCTGAAAGAGCTGGGCCAACTCTACAGTTTTTGATAGACTTCTCAGAAAGGTTAAGAAGAACAAAGATCAAAGTATTATCAGAACTGTTTAGGAGGAGAGGGAAGACCCAGCAATCACTTAAATTCAAGACACTTGAGTTTGGGAGCACAGTACCATAGCATTGGCCTTTGCAAGGAAGTGTCCAGAGGACATTCTGAAAGACAAAGATCATTAATGCCCATCTGTCCCCCATGGTACTAAGCTTCTTTCTCTTTTTCCACCACCACAAAATCAGTGTGTCCCATTTCAGTAGCTATAACTTCACCTTTTTCCTAATTATCCCCTACTATACATAGACCTTTCCTCCAGAAGGGTCTCATAGAAGAAAAATAATGATATTTTTATAAAAGTTACCTAGAATTAAGTTAACTAGAATTAAGGCCCTTTTGTTAGACAGACTGATGACCCTCCAAAGATGTTCACATGCTAATCCCCAGAACTTGCGAATATGATAACTTATATGGCAAAAGAGATTTTGCAGATATGATTGAGGTAGGGATCTTGAGATGCAGAGATTATCCTCAATTACCAAGGCAGCCTCAATATAACCACAAGGATCTTTATAAGGAGGGAGCTAGAGGACCAAATTCAGAGGGAATTCAAGTGTTCCTGGAAGTAGAGATTTGCAGGTATTTTACTGCTGCCTTTGAAGACAGATGAAAGGGTTGCTAGCCAAAGAACACAGCTGGCTTCTAGAAGCTGGAAAAGTTAGGAAAATGATTCTCCCCTAGAGCCTCCAAAAGGAATTAACTCAGCTAACATCTTGATTTTGGCCCTGTAAAAACCAATTTCAGACCTCCAGAAATACAAAATAATAAATTTGTGTTGTTCTAAGTCACTAATTTTTTGATAATTTGTTAAGGCCTCAATGGGAAACTATGACAGCCCCCCTTCTGTCTGTGTTGTCACCTGGAAGGTATATCAACTAGGCTGGCTTTGAGTTGATGTCAAGGTAAAGAAAGACACATCATGCTTAGAAGGGCCAGTACAGAGTGCAAGATGTTCAAAATATGTCTAGGTAACCTCCACCCATTTCTTCCTAATCATTACCCAGGAAGTGACCAAGAGTCACTGAACCCACATTCAGTGACCAACCTAAGGTGTATAGAACAAGAGGAAGTGAGAGAGGTGTCAGGAGAAGGTGAGAGAAGTAGTGTCAGAAATAAATTTGAGTCAACTTTTGAAGTTATTCCAATGCTCAAGACCATCAGATGCCCATGGATGGTAGGGAGTGTGGGAGGCCCATCACTACCAGCCCATTATTGAGTAGTGTTATAATAAAAGATGCCCCATTGCCAGACTGCAGATGATCAAGTCATCCAAAAACATGACACAGATTAGTTTCAAGGGCCACAGTGGTGTTAGTAGAGTCATCTAATCAGGCTGGAACAACTCTGTAACCTGAAAAAGTTACAACAGTGGTGACGTACCAAGGATTGCCTGAAGAGAGGGTCAAATATCCAATGTAGTCCAACTGCCCAGAGCAGGTTGGGGCAATGCCCTGAGCAATGTGTCTTCTGTCACTGTGAGAAAACCATGTCAACTTTTGGCTGCAATAACAAGTCCAGCATGCAGTAGTAGCTCTACATCAGAAAGAGAAACTCCTTCACATGGTGCCTAGACTTTGATGCCACGTTTGGTGCAATGATTCATCCCAGCAGCAATAGTAGAGATGCGGGCAGTACAGGCTCATTCAGCAGCTTAATCCCCATTGGCCTTGTCAGGGAATGGGCACTCACCATGGGCATCTAGATGAGAGACCCAGATGGTTTAACCAGCAGCCATAATTCATTTTTGCATTCCATGGCCCCAAAGAGGAATGTCTTTAATCTGCCAGTCCGTGAGTTTCCAAGTGGCAAACCAAACATTTAAGCCCTCGGCAACATCCCGCAGTCAGTAAAAACACAACAGGGTTTGTCAAAGGGAATATTGGCTGGAGATACGAGGAGAACTAGGAGCCTGCCAACTGAGTACATCAACTATAGCCGTTTGGGGTTCTGCATAGCCGATGCTGAGACTGAACAGCTGCCCGGCGTAAATCACTCAGTTTCAGCTTGGCGGAAGCATCAGTACATCAGGAAGAAGCATTTAGGAGGAAGGAATCTCTGTGAATCGAGGTCCCATGAGCCAATGGCTCTGCTTCAGGTGGCAGAGTGGGAGACAAAGTTATCTGCAAAGGCATAGCTGCCACTTGTTCACACAACATCAAGATGCCACTAGAGCCAACCTTTGAATTCAAAAATTGAGTTATTGAACAGACACTTTCCTTTTGACAAGCAGCGCTTCCTACTCTGTTAGTTACTGAGTCAGAATCAACCTATCCCAAAATGAGAATATCACGTTGGAGAGTCATAAGGCTTCCAGGGTCTGGGACTCGGTTTTAACAAGGGCCCTGTAGCAAACTAATAGCTGCTTTCTAAATTTTTCCATGCCAGGGAGGTGACGAATCCAAGCAGCACCTCTGGGTCAAGGCTGCCTCCCTTTGCAGGAAGCTCCAGTTGGCAGAATAATCAGTCACGGAAACTTAAGCTCAAAGGTACCTTTAGGGTGGTGGGGTCCTCATGACAAAATAGTGTCACAACTTGCCGGACAGCCTCCAAAGCAGCCCATTCAAAAGATACTGCTGTGTAGTTAGTCAATATAAATAATCAAGAGGATGCCCAGGTGAGGCACTTATTCTTTCTAATACCCAGTCATGTGCTGGGCCTCCCTTTTGGTGGTGAGGCGCTGAAGAGACAGCTTTCTATCTCCGCCAGTGTAAAGCTGGTGTCTTCCCTGTGTTCAACCTCTTTGACTGCGTCCCCTGCTCGTCTTCCCTTCATTCACTTTGTTCTACCCACGCTGTCCTGCTTGCTGCTCCTGAGCCCTTCTCACATGTGTGTGCCTCAACCACTGCTCCTTCTCTTTGGTATGCTCTTCCCCAAGATAGCTACAGTCATACGTTCTCTTCCCTATCTCCCTTAAGTCTTTGTTCCATTGTCAATCTTCTTAGGAAAGCCTTTCCCAGCCACCCGATTTAAGATATGACCTATGACCCCCTGCCCCACTCCACAGCCCTCCATATTCCCTTCCCTTCCCTGATTTTTTTTTTTTTTTGGTCACAGCACTTTCCACCATCTAGCTATATATTTTACCAATGTATTTTATATATTATCATCTTCTTCCATTACAATGTAAGCTCCATGGGGAAGTGTGTGCGTGTGTGTGTGTGTGTTTCAATGCCATTTCCCTGGTACTTAGGAGAATATCTAGCACTTTGAATAAAAAACAAATAAATAAATGAATTGTACACCAATGAGGGCAAGGAAGGAAGGAAGCGTCTTCTATCTTGGAATATACAGAGTATGCAGTTGTGTCACATAGCACTTTCAAGGTGGGCCTCGAGGAACTAGATAGGACATACACAGAAGTCGCTGTTCTAGCTGGAAAATAACTGTGCACAACGTAAGTAATAAGGAAAAGCCTTTATACTCTGGGCGAGTGAAGAAATTTGGGGAGGCAGAAATGCCATTCATCTACTAAGTGACTACATCGTTTGCACTGATGACATTTGACTTCTCTAAGGAAAGCTACTGCCGAAATATTTCTCCTGCCTCCTCAGGTAGAGCCATAGCCTTAGCGAAGATACTGGAAAAAGAAAGAGCAAGGCTATCCACGCACTTACCTGGCAGAACGTAGTGAGAGAGAGTTATGGTCGCAAGGGAAGATGATAGCGTAGTGTAGCACCTGGCCCTTTGCTCTGGATGCATCTATGGAATATGGAGGCAGAGGTTTGATGGTTTATTTCACCTGAATTTTCCTAGGATTGCACAGCTGCTGCACTTCCTTTTGTTTGTTGGAGTTTTTCAAATGATAAATGGCCAGATGTCACGCTTTCTGTCACTTATCGGCCTACACCATCCCTTTTTCCTCAGCGAGATGACAAGACTGCTACTGCTGTCGCTGCTGCGGTTCCACTGATAGGTGTTTTGCCAGCGATGGGCAGGTTATATGACCGTGTTGTGAGCCCGGGCTAATCACTCCTTCCAGCCCTGAATGCTAGCTGCCCAGCAGATGTCATTTCCAAACAAAAAGATATGAGCTGCCTGGTAACAAGCACTAGGTTTTGAATTCTCTCTCATCTTAAAAAACTAAAAAAAAAAAAAACCAAACAAACAAACAAAACCCTGAGAAATCTGAAATGGTCCTTCAATTCTTTAATATATACTTTGATATATTTAGAAACAATATAATTTGCCAAGCTTTTCTACCTTTTTTGCTTCAGCCCACACCCCTCTCCCAATCCTTCCTTTTAGAACCTCTTTGTAGTCTCAATCCTACAGATTTTCATGAGTTACCTTCAGAAAGTGGCTGATACCCTTTTGGAATAAAGAGTCACTTTGTCTGTCTTCACATTCCAAGTGGCAGGCAGCCCGAGATTCCCTTTGCAGGCAGCACAGATCTGTCTGCTTTGGTACATGGTGGCAGACATTTGAAATATGGTGAATAAAAAGGCTGTAGAAATCAAATTGCACTTGCGAAACAAAATGACAATAAAAACAACTCCCTAATCTTTTAAATGTCATGCAGCTCAGCTATAGTTTTCAACTTAGCGTTTACAGCCAGCTCTGTCTGCCTCCATTGCAATTCCTCTTGGTGCTGACTGAATAACACCTTCTATTCAGAAACTGCTTAATTATAATAAAATTGCCCACATCACCCCCCATAAAATATCAAAATGGAAGAAAAGATTGGCAGGAGACGAGGTATAGTGAAATAAATGGCTCTCTGTCCCTGGGGGGAGAGTCACAGACCATATATTTTGGCTTCTTGTCAATATTCACAACTTTTATGAACTTACATAGACATCATTATTATTAACTACTCTTAGATTTTAAAAAAAAAAGACACTTTTTTTTTTCACACTCTGCCCAATATGATAGCCATTCATGTGTTTAAAGTGTTGAGAACATAGTGTGTCTTTGTATTTCCCTATCATAGAGGCTATACTCACAGGCCTGAAGTCAGGTATGTTGTGGTTTGAATTTCAGTTGTGCTATTCAGTGGCTTAATGTGACCTTGGACCAGTGGTTTGCCCTCTTTAGGCCTCAGTTACATCATATATAAAGTGGAAATAAAAATATCTATGTCGTTGGGTAGTTGAGAGGATGAAGTGAAATAAATAATATACAGTATGAGAGAAAAGACTGCCACTTGTTCACCAAAATCCATTCTTCCCTTCTTTGGCCCAGTAATAGTGTTTTTTTTATCTTCCCTTGTGGCTAGGCAGGGCCATGGCTAAGTTCTTTCCAGTGGAATGTGAACAGAAGTAACATGTGCCACTGCTGGGCCTAGGCCTTAAGGCAATGTGCCTGCTGCTTCCTGGTTCTGTTTGCTGTCCAGGCAAAACCAGGACCTTGTGGCACCTTTGTGTTTTGTTCATGCAGATGGCAACGTCCTAGACTTTAGTGGCCTGGAAGGTGGGAGATTTGTCTCTTTAGCCTTAGGTCCCTTGTTGATTTCTGAGAGCAGAGATTGCCCTGAACATATACATGAGAAACAAACTTGATCTTATTTAAGATATTCTGTTTTTTAATATCCTGGTTACAGTACTATAGCCTTTACCCTAACTAGGTGTCTAGTATGAGATCCAACTAGTTACAGATGTTAAAAAACCATATGTATTGTGTACATGTCAATTCCTTGATCAGATCATGCTTTCTTTTGAGGGAAGTTTTAATGCTTTAATGTTCTTTACATCCTTTACAATGTTTAGCACAGGCCCTTGTGCATAACAAACTTATAATAATTTTTTGTTGAAGAAATTCAGTTGTTGAAATTAAATCATGGTTCATAATATTCAGAATAGTTGTCATACATTCTTTTCTTTCCCTTTCATATCTGGCGTTTGTTCTTTCCCTTCCTCAACCATAGCCTGTTTAGAGGCTAGAATTAACAACTTTTTATGATTCACTTTTTGTAATCATAAGATTGTGCTTGGCAGCATGGATGTCCTATGGTCTGAGATAATAATTTCTTCTTTAAAATCCAATAAGCCTTTAAGGAAACTAGGAATTCCTTCCTACTGATGAACAGCTTATATTATGGGTAATAATAATAGTGGTTTTCTGGAAAAATTAAGCAGATAGGATAAAATGATCAGGAACATTGCCATGAATTTAAAAATGATCACTTATAATTTAGAGTTCATCACTTTTAAGCATTATTTCATGGGATAGGTTTAGGTCATTATTAAGGAATGTGCTGCTTCTTGCATTAGAAACTTGATTTTAAAAAGGGACAGTAGTTTATGACTGCTATATAATTAGTAAGATATTAAAATTTCACACTGAAGCAGGAGCTCAAGGAGAAGAAATATCTGAGAGAAGCATATCCTTCCTAGGTGTTTCTCTGGTTTGGATTCTGGTCTGGGTTATAAATTGGTGTGAAACCATTATCATTTTTATAACCACTTCATGTGCCTATGTACGCTTGGGATGTAATTAACACGGATGATCTTAGGGAAGGGGTAGTTAATTGATTTTTAAACTTTAAATCACATAGGCCATGGATAACCCAATAGTGAGCAAGTAGTTGATTTCTGCTTTTCCCAGGCAGATGTCATCTTCCTGGCTGTTTTACTTAGGAAAGTTTATTTTAGGATCCAATTGAGTTTCAATTTTAGCTTTACACTTTCTAATGTGTCCTTGGTAATGTCACTTAGTCTTTTTGGACCGTGGCTTCTTTAAAATGGAGATAATAATAGTAGCTGCTTTCCAGCATTATTGTGAAAATCAAATGAGATGATGTATATTAACTTTATAACAGTGCCTACAGCCTAGTAATTACTCAAAGGAGTTAACACTTCTTATTTATTCAGAGCAGTGGTTCTCTAAGTGTGGTCCTCAGACCAGCATCAAGATCACCTGGGAACTTGTAAGAAATGCAACATTCTTGTGACTCAATCCAGATCTACTAAATCAGAAACTCTGAGAATGGAGCCCAGTAATCTATGTTTTAACAAGTCTTCCAAGTAATTCTGATTCTTTAAAGTTTAAGAACGACTACTGCTTTCTACAAATGATTTAACATTTCTTTCTACAAATGATTTAACATTTTCTAACATGTAATCCATTTCTATGATCAATATGTGATGCTAAGAAACTGATTTTCTTTTTTGAAAAAAACATCGTAATTTTCTTTCAAGGAAAGCACCTCTTCCCTATTCTCTCAGTCCACATGGTTGAATGGAGCTTATTCTGCCCCCAGCTTGGGTTCATGTTCTAGGGCTATGTCAAGTGGTGGATCCCATTGAGCAGGCCACACTGATTACTTCAGACATGCACCTGTGATCTCATTTAGGTCCAGGATGCTCAGAAATTTCACTGGCATTGTTGGGAAGATGGATGCTTTCCACCAATGGAATTGCTAAGAGAAAGATATAAACCCAGAAATAATATAAAAATATAAGCTCTCACAATGGAGTCAAATAGAGAACTTCAGTCAAAAGATGAACTGAAGCCAAGTCCTCATGACATGGATTGAATCCTTAGACCAAGCCACGTGTTATGATCTTCCCCTGCACTTTACAGGTGAGAAAAAAATTACATCTCTTTCCACCTCTTCTAACACTTGAACATGTTTTCTGTTAAAAAAAATCAGTTTTTTATTATTTAACGTGAGCCCTGATGAATAAACTGTTTCATGAGATTTTTGTAAGGAATAAAATGAATCAATGTATATAAAAATACTGTGTCAATTGAGGCCATCTGAGATGCAGATAGTAAGATGGGATTAGATGTGCAAGAGATTTATTAAAGGAAATGACTGTTAGGGAACATAGAGAAGGAGTCAAGGGAAGCTGGGGGAGCCACCGGACCTGCAGTACAGTGAAGACCTGTACTACACTACTTGCAAAGAAGAAAAAAAAGGAAGGAAGATTATGGGGAAGCATCTTAAACTGTAGCACAGTTCTAAGAAAGTCCTTGCCTAAGTCACCCACAAGAGGAGTCCCCCATCTCCCAAGGATGGACACACCCTGCTCATACTATCTATCCAGCCACGCTCAGATACTGGTTAGGAGCAGCCATGGGGAAGCTTGGTCTCCACGAGGAGGCAGTGATGGATTTCAGAGAGCAGCAGCTGAGATCCAGTCATGCTTCTCACAGTCAGAGATCTGAGAGACACATTTTCATGACCACGACAAATACCTAGGGCAGTATCTAGAATTAGTAGGGCTTCGACAAAGGCTAATGCCACTTCCACCTGACCTATTCTTTTGAAAGCAAAGCAAATGTCCTCGAAAACCTTGCCCACCCCTTCTATTCTTTGTTTTAATTATGAGTGCATCCTCGGTCTCTCTCAGCAGTCACATGTTCTAAATATTGCAGACTAATAAAGCAAAACAAACTCTACTGGCCCAGCAGGGAGCAAGCTATTCAGCTAATCATTTATAGCAAATGCCACTCAGGTGCTGCCTTTAATGCATAACTGCCAGGCATACTGATTTTGTCAATATTACACTTGGATTAAAATCAGCATAGGTTAGCTGAGAGCATAGGCCACTGCGGCTCTCTCTTATTGTAATGGAGTGTAATTTCCACACATCGTACCCCCAATTTATCTTCCTATGACTCTGGAGTGAATAGTGGTGCATCAAGTCCAGTGACTTTTAGGGCTAGAAAATACAAGATACATCCAGGCCATCTTTTATCATTCTTTCTCTATTTTGACTGAAGAGTTAAGGATCAGTAGTAACCAA